TATTGAGTCAAGCGTTGGTGACGCCGCCTTGTGTTTGTCATGTTCTTGATTGTTGTGTAATATTGTGCAAGGTTATTTTAGTGTGTTGATCACAATGCATGTATATTAATTCAGCTGACAATATCATTGATGAAAAAGCCGTTAAATAAACGGGTGTTGTTTGGTTCATTTCGACCGCGTCTACTTTGTCCGTTCAATCCAAGAACGTGGCACTCGTCACTTCGAGACCCCACTACGTGCAGAATCGTTCACCGTGAGGGCACTCTACACACGATGCACGTGTTTACTTTAAGCAAGTGAAAAAATATCGTAGGTGGTTTGAAGCCCTTTAAAGGGCACCATGTCCAGGTGATGCAGGGCAGACAGTCATGTAAAGCTGTGACACGCTGCCAATAAATGAAGACTCGGATCACGAATGCAGATACTAGGCAAGCAGTCCAAGCGAGACATTTTCTGCATAGACTAAATCAGCTATATCTGTCGCATAAACCATGAAATAACAAAAGCAAGACTGCCACACCTGGCACCACCATTCGGCACATAAGAGGAATGCCGACTGCAAGTTCGTTCTTCCGTGCACAGGCATGACATGCAGCCTCATCAAAATCAAGCTAAGTTCTTGATTAGGGCTCCCACACTTTCTAATGTGATAGCGTTAGAACGCAGGCTTGGAAAACCAGTCTATCAAATAACAGGTAATTACAGCTTTTTTTTAGCCAATTACTTCAGGACAAACTTTCCGAAATGCCACTTTGTTGCCAATGTCATTGATATGAATTGATGACAATGAACATTATGAGTATTCGCCAGGAAATAAAAATTTCTTGGCCATATTGGAAACTTTGTGAAATGAGGTTTCGACAGATCGGAGTTTTACAGTTGCTTTCCAACACTGACCTAAAATGGTGAACAAATGTCGCCATGTGATAGAAGTTTACACATTTATCATGCATTCAATGTATCTTTTTTTATATGCCCCATGTTTTCCACTACGAGCCTTCAGTATGTAGTAATGAGCACTGTCTTTCCAGTAAAAATGTGGTTTATGGATTCGGCACCTTCTTTTGCTTCGAGCAATGCCAATATATATATATATATATATATATATATATATATATACACACACACACACACACACACACACACACACACACATATCTTCATTAAGAATAGGTGCCCTGGAGACGTTCCCATTGGTCAGACTACGGTACATCTCCCAAACACCTTCTATTGTTCATGCTTACTTGTATAACGAGACTAATAAAATACTGGTGATGTGTTAATTTATTTTTGTGATAAGCACAAAATGAAGTTTGTACTGTTTTATGAAGTGTTTTTTTTCTTATCTGCCACATAATTAAGAAAAATCACTACTTGAAATTATGAAAAAAAAATAAATGGGGTTCACTAAAATGATGGAAAAGGAACAGAAACCGCTTTTAAAACCTGGAACAAACCTAAAAAGAATGTTTGGGCATAGCCTGAGAGGCTACCATCATCCTAGACTTCTGCCTACATTTCGTATGTCAGAATTGCTTCCTCACTGGTCGCTACACAAAGGAAGAGATTCTTCTTTCAGTGTTTCTTGCTTTATTCAAGCAAATCCCAAAAGATTTTTTTAGTGTGTCCTACATATCTGTTAATTTTTAGACAGCCTAAAACAAAACATAATACCCAAATTACACAGGGCACATTCAATCTCATTCGTGCTTGGCTGCCTTCAACACTTCAAACAAAGGAACCAAATGGTAATGAAGGTATTCTAAGCACAATCAGGCTCAACGGCAATTTAGTGCCATTGTGACACTGGTATACATATAATCTATTGCCCGGGCGTCAAGCAAAATTCAATTACAGAAGAATTGTTCAGCTTCTTGACATGGCCTTATGATAGAAAAAGGTGGGGAAAGATAAAAAGAGAATGAAAAGAAAGGACATGCACTGTCCAGTGTTTTTTTTTTCTTGTTTTAATTACTTTTTTTAACCATTTTCCATCATGGAGTCAAGCTTCCACTTGGGAAAAAAATGAATGCCCTAAGTAGGATATGCACAATTTCTTGCAAAAAAAAAAAAATTGAAGGTTTTAGTCATGCCCACTGTGTAAGAAAGTTAGGTGCCGACACTCACCGCTATGCGAAAGGAGAGGGCGCGGACAGATTGTGTTCGCCGATTACCTTCAGCTACAAGTAGTTGCCGTCACGCTAGTTGAGATGACGCTACTGTATGGCGCGACAGGTATTCGTGCGGCTCTCATTCTGCAATACACACGCCAAAGAACATCTTCCTGAAAGCTTTGAGTGCAAGGGATTTAGTGATTTATAAACGCGTTGCCCTGTGTCTGTGAGCTCTGCCAGTGCATTTGTTCAGCTGATTAGCGCTTTGTGCTTCAGTGCACGTATACCTCAACGCTGCATATGACTCTGGGTATGCGTTAGCGGCCTTGTCGCTGGCTGCGCCTCATAATAGGCAAGTGGTGTTTTGTCCCCAATTGCAAGTCGGGGTATAGGATTTGCGCGCAGTGTGTGTCACTTTTCAAGGCTCCGCATGAATCAGAGCGCTTGGATAATTGGCAACGGGCAATTCTGAAAGCTTATGGAGCCTTGCAGCCTTCTGACCATATGGGCACAAATCATTCCCCGGAAGAAGTGATCTCTGCCACATATTGTGCAGAATACAAGGGAAACGTCCTGTTCCACGCTCCAATGAAACCTATGCTCACTTCAGATGCTGAGCCTGCCATTTGAACAGTCGGTCCAAAATACCTAACCATGCATAAAAAAAAACAGGAAAGCTAAGACGGCTGGCTCTACTGCCAACTTCTTGAAAACGGCGGGGGCCAACAGGTTCAGCTGCATCTGACATGCCTTACACGACCGCTGAAAGAACACCAAATTTATTGCGCGTAGAGACAGTTTTTCCATAGAATGGCGATGATGAATCAGCAGAAACGCGTGCAAAATGTAGCACTTTGACATCAGCAGCGACGGGCCTGCTCCACGCAAAGAAGGAGGATGCTTTTCAACACAACACATAGCGTGGACCTATGCCTTACTGACTACCTTCTTCATCATTCCAGAAAAGTAATTTCTTGTTTTCAATTGAGATGCCACATTTGTCAGCTGCCTCATCTCTGCCTTTTTGGACTAAACAAAATTAAACATTCAGTAACCAGTGAACAGAAATCACTGTACATACTCATTCTGTGATGCAGCAGTCTTGATTATAATTAGCTTGCCATGCTTGATGTGGTCAAGGCAGATTTTCTCGCTGGATGTATCTAGCGTTTCATTGTCACCGCCTTGCAACATTGCAGGCGCACTTCCGACCACGGTACTTATGACACACCTTTGAATTATTAAGGTGAACACCTTGGATAACCTTAGATGCCTCATCAAACACGGAACATGATTTTCGGCATCCCGCGTCAATGGCGTAAGGGTCGAGCTGCACAAGATATACTGCTTTAAATACTATGCTCACTTCCCCCGTCTCATAGGCAGTTCAGCAAGTTGAACTTTGCACGGTCTAATAAAATAGTACAAAGCATGGCTGACGGCACTGACCCAACAGTCCCGTGTCGAGCGCAGTACGCGTTAACCAAGGCTCTACTTTTGGGACCCAATGAAGTCGTCCCACCATATCATGCAGCACACACTGCCAGAAGCCGAAGTCTGCATAAAGCTAACAGTAAGAATGTCAAGGGTAGCGTGTCAATTTAGGTTCTTAATAGAATGCGTGTAAGTTTCCTGATACATTAGTTAAAAACTTTCTGACGAAGTTTTCATTAACACAGACTATCGCCTTCTTAATAACTGGTGCACCTTTGCCTTCTGGCTGCTATCCTTATTGCAAACACCTCAAATTTTTCTCATGGACAACGCTGCATTTATGTTCTGAACCAAAGATCCCGCAACGACACAACAACTTCAACGAAACGAGATCTTTAGTGCCGTCGCGTCAAAATGCAACCGCTTTCCGCAGGACAACGTTAGCTGCTATCGGTGCATTCATATCACAAAAACGCTGTTTGCAAATAAGCTGCATATAAATTTAGGAAATCAATTTGTTACAGCAGAGTCACAGTGTATGAATTTATTGACATCCATGTACATCTGTATATCAAGCCTAATAAATTAGTGCAGTTCCGCAGCAATAACATTCTACACCCGGATCGAGTCGCTCACCAGTGAGCGCCTTGGCCCACCCTTCGCGAGCGCCATCTGTCACATCAAACGGAAACAGGCCAGCCGGCGAACACAATCTGGACGCGGTGCCAAGTGCAGTGTCATCACACAACTTATTCTTACACCTTGGTCATGCCACATCTCTAGTGCAAAAGAGAGTGGCAGTCAAAAAAAGAAGTGTGCAATAGGATTCTCTTACGCACAAAAGTTGCAAAGCAGTAATACTAAAACACGCATGAATGTGTGTGTGTGTGTGTGTGTGTGTGTGTGTGTGTGTGTGTGTGTGTGTGTGTGTGTGTGTGTGTGTGTGTGTGTGTGTGTGTGTGTGTGTGTTGGGTCAATACAGCTACACTTTATATAATGATGTTCTACATAACAGTAGGGGCAATGATCCTTAGCTGTAATTATAATATGTTATTTAGAAAAACTGTGACATAATTGCATGCCTGACAGTGTTGTATGGCCCAGGCTAAATATTAAGTGCATGTCAGCAGATCGAAGTGGTGTGCATGCAAGGCATGACAACATACTGTCGCATGACAGTACATAGACAAATGTCCAAAGACTTAAGTGTAATCAGTAGTCAGATTCATGTGCTGTGAAAAAAAGAAAACAAGAAAAGGAAAACCTATGCCAGTGCTGGTGAAGAGTAGAAAAAGAAGAAAATATGTACATAATGAGAGCCAGGATGTTGTTGCACAGGGCTGACAGTTGGTGAACAAAGCCACCACACAGCAGTTAATTACAGAAAGGAAAAACAAATATAGACAAAACCAAGCAACAATGAAAAGAAAAACAAAACAAAAAAAAGCATACTTTGTCGCCTTTCTCCCTGGATATGCTTAGGTGCCTCTCGCAATTTGTGACTGCATCATCAAACTTGCCCATCATTTTGAGCGTGTTTCCCAAGTTTCCACTCGCTTTCGCCTCCCCCAATAAGTCGCCGGCTTCCCTGAAGAGATGAAGGAAGAACGTTCCAAACAAGCAATAAATTGGGACTATGTTCATGAAAATTCTGTACTACACGTAATATAGTACGCAGCTTAATTACGCAGCAAATGAAAGACAATAGCGACAAAACAAGTACGAATCAGCTACGTTAGCTTTCCGTAAACATTAAGCATGCAGCAATTAAATGAAAAGGCAAAAAAGAAATAGGCAAGAAAATTAAAGGGCTGACAAATCCGCTTCGAAAACAAAACAAAACAAAAATCGCGGACGCTGCTGACATTACACTGCTGCAGATGTGCATGAATTAATGTGCAAAATCCCGAAATAAAAATGACCTTTGTCGCACTTACTTGGCTGTTTTGAGATCAAGCTGATGGTACTGCAGAGCCTTATTATAATCTCCGAGGTAAAATGAAGCATTGCCCAGCTGACTGTAAACGGCGCTAAGCACTCTCAAATCATCCGTGCCTACGTTGATCGCCGCGCTCAAATACTCGACACCCGAGTGGAAATCGCCTGCCTTGCACAAGCGTTCACCCTCAAGCGCAAGCTCTAAACAAGTACTGGTTTCCATGTTAAGAAAGAACCTGAAAGAGAAAGGAGAAAGCCGGCTGAATTCCGTGCGCCAAATGATACTGCTGCAATTCCGCTGACCGTTGCGGCGCGCGCACTGGCCGCCCTGCTGACGCCTCCGCCGCATTAGCTCTAAGCTTTGTGTAAATCGCTGAAGCGATCCGTCACAAATATCTGCCACTCAGCTTACACAATATGCTCCGAAAGCAAATAAACATCAGGTTATATCTACCACAGGCTTAATGGCTAAAAAACGTTACGCAGGAGCAAATGTTTACTAAAATCTGTTGCACTACGTTTAAAGAACACAAAACGGGCAATCCGCGAAGACGCTGGGAGACTCACTCAGTAGAGGCTTGAAATGGTTACTCGTAGATCAACACTGCCATCCCACCAGCATAACAGCAGACTTAAATCCAAAAACAGGGTGCGAAGATGCTGGAATTAATTGCCGCGGTGGTCACGAAGCAACGTGCTAAAGCACTGGTTCGGCTCAGCGCACGTAAATGCAGATTTGTGGGATTGCTGTGGGCGAGAAGAAAGAAGATCGAAGGAGAGAGCAATGTGAACAAGACGTAGTGACGTAGGCGTTGCCATGACAACAGTAGGCGGGACCGGCGCCGATTGCGTAGAAACCGCGGTGTGGAAGCAGAAGCTACGACAGCTGCAGTTTGTGGGAGGTCTAATTATTACAAGGCGCTCATGTAATGACCCACGCTTGCACTAACAAAAGTGTACATATTCGGTAAATGATATCTAGAGCAATATATCGAATAAAACGTGTTCACTAACACCTAACATAAAGCATATAGGAGCGAAATAGGTCACACCTTACTCGATCGCTCGCAGGATTTCGTGCCGACCGGTTGTGCCCCGTGATCTCCGATGACAACGCAGCTCTGCTGACCGACTGGCTCGCCCTACGCCATCTCCTGACGCCGACAAGAGCTCTCGCCGAGTGGTGCCCCGTCCTCGGACTCCTGCAACCGTGTCCATCTTTCCTATCTTCTTACTTGCGTATGTGGCTGTCCCTGCGCCTCGCTCTCTCTACCTCTATACTTCTTAATCCTATCCTTTTAATTCCTCCTTATCCTCATTCCTCGTGAGCTACTGTTGAGGTGTCCTCCCACTGAGAGACAGTTATTACGGGACTCACTTTTATCTTCTTTTCATTCAAGAATCTCTTAAGATGCTAACGCGTTCAAACTGAGGTGACTAAAGCTAGCACAGCAGAACGATGGAGCGTCTGCCTACTGACCATGCTTCAGAGGACGCTCCTGAATTGCGCTTCACAACGCGATAGTCTATGGGCATTGCCAATACTGTAAATTCATACTCATGGTCGATGCCAAAAGTATTTTTAGGTTCAGAGAAATTTCAGACAACGCAAAAGTCCATTGCCATGGTGTTTACGAAATTTTATTATCGTCAACTATGTTGTTCCCTCGGATCAGGGGCGCATTTTCGTCTTCCAAATTAATCTTTCCGCGTTTCACTATAAAAGTTTGCAGCCTTTTTCTTTTGCTGTCGTTCTCGCTCACCAGGACACATTATGGTTCATTCATGTTAGAATATCACAAAATAATCATTCTCGGTAACTGTCCGTTTCGGTGTAAACGTCTTGTTTTCCTTTTTCATCAAACCCCAAATCCCTTTCAAACGCAAAACAAAAGCTATCAACACGGGAAATACGCCGACAACACCAAACATGTGTGTCTAAGCGAATGCGCTGTAGGCCTGATCCAAACACGTAAAAAAAAACACTTTTTATGAAGACACCGTTGAATTTTCTGAAGCAGTGACATAAAAGCCATGTGCAGTAGAAGTAGCAAAACTATGGCGATGTACTGTGCACATCAGAAAAAATCGAATTTTGCGTAATTTTTGAAACAAATAAACGTGTTCGCTTGATTGTTTTTAGGGCTGTTATAGGTGCTCCCGAGTGCTAAACAGATCGAAGACGTTGTTCTCCTCCCACTCGAAACAGCGCTTATCCTCACTCAACGAGTGAACTTCGGGACGGCTTTAAGCTCTCCCATAGTAGAGTACGTGGTACTCTAAATCGTTGAAGCTAAACAGCACGCACGCACACACACACACACACACACACGTGTGTGTGTGTGTGTGTGTGTGTGTGTGTGTGTGTGTGTGCGTGTGTGTGTGTGTGTGTGTGTGCAGAAAAAAATGCAGGGTCTGTTACGCTTCATAATCAAAGTTACCACGATGATCCGTCAAGGCTATTCAAAACAATAACAGGAGACCTACATTATTACACTTACTCAAGCGAATGGCTGAGAACGCGATTAATACGCTTACCCAACACGTTCTCAACGGCCTGTATTTAGCGCTCTCGCCATTATGCTTAGCGAAAGCTGCGGACATTAGTAAAACTGAAGTCATTTACGTCCATGGCAATTCACAACGCAACATTAACGCAGACTGCAGTCTTTTTTTTTTTTTTTTCGTAAAGCGCGGAGCTTTTGCATCTGCCCTTGCTTTCGCCGTCGTTAATTCAGGCGATTGAACCAGCAAGCACTTCCTTGGCTCGGTGACGCGTCCGACTAGCGGAGAGAAATTCGTAGTTATTTTTCTGGGTGTTCAATGCGCAAATACATCTACTATTTAGCTCAATCGTTGTTTCGTATGCTGTAGTTGTACCTGGTTGCGCAGCAAAATGTGCAACGGAGTCGGCCTTTGCACTACTCAAAACTGCGTCGACAGGGGGCGCTGCATGTCCGGAAAACTCTAAGATTAAAAATTAAGCAACGTGGAATAGGTAGGCTTGCTTTAGGAGCTCATGGAAATACACCAAATTAGGGAGTACAAGGTGATATGGGATGGACATCATTTGAGGGCAGGGAAGCTAGCAGCAAGATAAAATTTGAGAAGCGATTGAGAGAAATGGGGGAGGAGCGTTGGGCTAAGAAGGTTTTCAGCTACTTCTACATGAAGAATGTTGATACAAAATGGAGGAAGCGAACCAGGAAATTGACTGGTAAATACTTAGAAACTAGCAGGTGGTCAAACCAAAAAGAACTATTGGTTAAGAAGAAATTGAAGGAAACGGAGACTGACATGTGGAGAATTGGCGTGATTAACAAGTCCGCACTAGAGATCTATCAAACTTTTAAGCAGGAAATTGCCAAGGAAAGGATATATGAGAATACCCGATGTAGTTCTCTTCTGTTTGAGGCCAGGACAGGAGTATTGCGAACCAAGACATATCGGGCCAAATACAAAGGGGTAGACATGGTATGCAGTGCATGTGGAGAGGAGGAGGAAACTGCCGAACACTTGATAATGTTCTGTAAAGGGCATCACCCTATAGTTCAGGATGATGGTACGGAGTTTTTCAAAGCACTGGTGTTTAGGGACAGGGAGGGCAAAATAGACTTCAAGCGGGTAGAATTAACTAAAAGAAGGTTGTCTGATAGTCAAGGCACGAGTGAAAATTAAACCCTTCACTGCAAAGTACCAGTCCTCAACTTTACTATTTAAAGGGGAAAAAAGATAAATCTAGTGGTTAGTTCACTAAGTATAATGGCTAGGAGGCGTTAGCCGCTGCCTTATCTATAGGGTACAGCCACATCCATCCATCCACTCCAGAGCAAGGAGGAAGGAAAAAAAAACTTAGGAGCACGGAGGAAGGACCTTTCCTTCCTCCGTGCTTAGGAGAGGGCCTGACGTCACTCATTGTGAAGCCGGAAGTCAGCCATATTGACTGGGCAAATTCTTCTCTCTTGTTTACATCCGAATGTAAAGCAGAAGGCGCGACTCTCTCTCCGGCTCGGCAAGCACGTGGGCTGCGCAGCGCCCGTGTCGTGACGATCCGAAACTAAAGGAACGGCGCTCAACACTCTGGGCCAGCGTGACACCTTCGGCGAAATCATTTCGTCCGAGTATTAACAGCGAGTAACAGCTCGACGACAACGAAGCAAGTACAAGAGAACACGCGCTAGATGCACTGGCAACGGCGAGTGTTCTCAAGTCATTAATTCACGCACTGTACAGACATCACGATTGGTCGTGCACCTTCTTCTAAGGTTGCATTCCGACACGAGGCCGACGCAGCGCCCGGCCACTGTGCCCGTGTTCCGCGTGATACTCACCGGCGTCAGTATTCTATGACCGTGGTGACTTTGAGCACGGCAGAAGTGGCACTTGAACGTGGTTGCTCTAACGTTGAGATTATAATGCTGGGGGCGAGTATAACAAGCGGAACAGAAAAAGTGTTTTATTACGCACATGCAAGTTCATGGAGGAAGGAAAAACTTTCTTCCTCCATGACTAAAAGTGTTGAGTGGCGTGACCACGCGACCACATCTCACCGCCTGATCCCTTCCGCGTTGCCCAAAGCGGCGGAACTGCAGTCGAATATTACTGAAAGAGCCGCGCACCTCGTGCAGGAACTGCTATGCGCTTGGGCTCCTCCGTGGCGCTTTCTTGATTCATATTTCTTCGTACCTGCCCATCATTCATGTCTAGTACATGATGCCATAGCATTTGAAGTATGACAGGCCAATCTACCGAACTTGAGCTCCATAAAAGCCCTTGTAGAGATCAAAATAATTCAGAAAGGAGGTGTCTTATACTGATTTCTTCTGTATAAGACACAGAAGAAATCATCGTTGGTTAGGCATCTACAATATACAGAATAACTGAGCCGATTTATTGGAAGTTAGCTGCACTCAGAAAGCTGTGAGAATAAAAAAAATTCCGTTTCAAACGCACGCAGAACCAGGAGGCAGTTAGCAGAGAGGGGAGAGGGAGAGAACCTGAACCCTTTTCACCACGAAATGTTTTCGTAATGTAACTTTTTAGGGTATACTTAAACATCCTTAGACATTTGTTAAACCCGGACGGGAACAAGTTGGCAGAAAGGCACAATATTTATCGGTTAATACAAGCGTATCAAGGTACAGAGCTGGATTTCCTGAATGAAATCAAGTAAACATAGATCTCTCGAGCGCTTCCCGTTACACACCCTTATTACACAGGGGTGACAAATTATGATTTAGACAACGGGATCGGTGAGGCAGGAGTGAGGGCCGCCTTGCAAAAACTCAATACTAGATCAGCACCTGGACTAGATGGCATAACTAACAGAACGCTACGCAACTTGGATGACGAGTCCATAACTAAGTTAACTGAATTCATTAAGAAATCATGGAAGGCAGGACAGATTCCGCAACAATGGAAGACGGTGAAAATTGTGTTAGTACCTAAGCCAGGCAAGCGACAGCAGATTGCGGACTTGAGACCCATATCTCTCACATCTTGCGTCGGGAAACTCATGAAGCACGTAATTCTGGAGAGGATAACTACCTATCTCGAGGACCGGGATGCGCTCCCACTGACAATGATATAAGGGTTCAGGAGGAACCTCTCAAAGCAAGGCACAATGCTACAGTTAAAACATCAGATTATAGATCATACGGGAACAGCGACAAAGGCCATTCTAGGGTTAGACCTTAAGAAGGCCTTTGATAATGAAACACATGCAACGGTGCTAA